TAGTGGCTGGGGCAAGTCTAAAATCCTTGAGGTGGGATCCATCCACTCTGAGCTTTTGACGAGGTGGTGGCCTGCTCCTGCCAAAGCAGCCCCGCGCAAATGAGGGTGTCTGAGGCAGCCGGGCAGCCTTGGCCCGTGCCACACGAAGGCAAGAGCCGGCATCTGACCAGCAGCATCCTCCCTCCCTGTCCTCTCAGCCAGGCTGTAACAAGCCTGGAGGCTGCTCACTCCCAGAGCAGATTCAATTTGGGGTGGCCAGACTTTGTGCTCCACAGAATGTGGAGGGGAGTTAAGCGGTGTTGAAGCCAGAGAGGCTCTGGGCTCATTAGCCATGGCCCTGGGAAATGGGATTTATTCTGTGGGTGAGCGTGAGGATAGGAGGCTGTGCTCCCTACCAGTTCCTGTACTGAGTTACTGCTGGTCTCTCTCTGCATTCCAGCTGTGGAAGAGAAGTGGTGTGAGTGTGTCCCCGCTGTCTAGCCCAGCATCCTCCCGCTCCCAGACGCCAGAGTGGCCTCTCAAGAGAGCCAGGTAACTAGCTGCTCGCCCAGTGAGTGCCCGCTCATCGACACCAGCCGGCAAGAGAGCAGTTGCCTTCCCAGCCGTCCTGGTGCCTGAGTCCTGCTCTCCACCAGAGCCAGGACAGTGCAGGCCACTTTCTGAGACCTGGCTGCTTGGTCACCCACTGGTGTGGAAACCCCCTTGTGTCAATTGGCATCCCTGCCGCCTTGTTACACTGCGGTCTTGGCAGGAGTGCTGAGCTGCACTATCCCTGCCCTGCTCCCAGGCTGGGTTAGAGTGTTAAGGGCCCAGATTGCTGCAGAGGCAACATTGCCTTGTGGTGTTGGCATGGCCTGGGTTGCTGAAGCGTTGGGAAGAGACAGGCCCTTATTTTTTTGGCCATCTCCTCAAAATCAATTCACAGGAGCTACAGTAGGGTTGTATTTTAGCACCTGCTTTGGAGCACAGGCACTTGTTCTCCTCTTCCAGCTCAGAGAAGGACCTGAGCTTATGTCAGAACTAAAACTGGCACAACCATCCGCTCTGGCAACAGGGTGGGTCCAAGCCAGGGACCTGCGAGGGGCAGCACCTCCCATCTGGGACCCCCGGCTGCCACCCTGAGGCTAACGTATCCTGCAGAGGGTGCCCAGGCTCAGCAGCCCAACTGAGCTGGGGTCCTAGGGAGGGGAGGAGCTCCTCTGCCTGGAGCTGCGTTCAGGCCAGTACAGTGAGAGCAAGGCTGTTGTCCTGACGCCTGTTGTTCAGTGGAGGCAAAGAAACACACCAGGGATGCTGGTGGGAGTCCTTAGTGTGTTCAGTCTCATCCTGCTGCCTGGGGACCAGGCCAAGCATGGAGTTGACCCTGACTAGCGCTCTCTCACTTCCACAGGGAAGAGGAGTTGCATCACTCCAACGCTTCCACTCCAGTGAAATTGGACAAGGAGCTGCAGACAGAGAAAGGTGAGCGTAGGTGGGCCCCAGCTCTGTGCCTGGGTTGGATGGGCCAGCAGTGTGAGCAAGCAGCGGGACAGGAGGTAGCTGAGGTCGGCTGGTGGGATTGGCTTGAGACATCACCAACTAGGAACATGCAGGTCCCAAGGCACTAGCACTTCTGCTGGCCTCAGTGACTGCCCTAAAGGGATTTCCAGGTGATAAGCAAGGGGTGCTGACAATGGCCGTGTGCTAGCAGATGCCTTGGAGCTGGCTTGCAAGAGGGAACATCAGCCCCCAGGCCAGCACGGGTCCAGGTGTCAGCCCTGGGGCAAGATCTGCTGTGGTATAAGTAGCACCCTGATCAAATTCCAGGCTGAGCTTATTCCAAGGCTTCCTCAGCTGAAATGGAGAGGAAACCCTTTGTGCCCATTGCAGATAGGGTCCTGTGGCACAGCGCTACATGTGGCTTACAGAGTTTGCGTGGGTTGGGTTTGGGTAGGTAGTGTACAAGGACCATCCATGGAGGTGGGAAGGGGCCGCTGCCCTGCAGAGTCCCAGCAGGCTCTTGTAACAGACTGTCCCAGGATGTGTTGCAGCCAGCTGCTCTTCCAGGGCATCGTAACCTTGTCCTCGGCTTAAAGCCGTGCCCCTGGCTGTGCCCTCTTAGGTGGGTCATCAAGAGAGGTCAGAAGGGACAACCCCGTTGGTACAAGCCGAATGCCCCCTCTGCTCAGAGCCGGTCCTGACTTGTTTCCTTCTGTAGCGGTGGAGACGCCGGTGCGGAAAAAGCAAAATTCCCTGAGCCCGCCGTCCGCATCTGGGAGCAGTGCGAAGCGCAAGCGGAAGATCCAGTTGCTGTCATCTCGCCAGGGGGACCAGCTGGCGCTGGTACGTCGCTGTCTCGCAGCCCCTTTTGCCCTCCTCTGGCGATAGAATGTGCTCACTGCAATTTCTGCAGGGCTGGGGGGAGACTGACCTGCCTGCCCTCAGGAAGGAGGCCCCGTCCTTGGCCGAGTGGGAAGTGACGCTATCCCCAGCCCCAGTGTCTGGTGGGCTGTGCGTGATTGTGCTGCCTGCTGCCGGACCAGGTAATGGCCTGGGGAAGGCCTGCCGTGCCCTCAGCGCCAAGCCGGGGGCCAAAATGAATGGGAATCGGAGCTCCGCGGTAGCGTGCTGTGGCAGAACCAGCTGCTTCACGGGTCTTGCGACGGCCAGCCTTCACCACACGTTCAGAGAGGCTCTGCCAGCTTCCCTGAGAAGGAGCTAAGCTGCTGCTCTCTCTTGGCAGCCCCCACCGCCTCAGCTGGGCTACTCCATCACATCAGAGGACCTGGACGCAGAGAAGAAGGCAGCGTTGCAGTGGTTCAACAAAGTCTTGGAGGATAAGGCTGGTAAGGATGGACTGTGAATGCGGAAGGGATGGCAAGGAGTAGAAACCCAGGGCCAGGGCTGGTGGGGCAGTGGCGTCTGTGTAGCACAGCCTGGCGAAGCTCCTGGGCCAGTCCAGTGGGGTCCTCAGGCCTGGGGATGCTCTTGGTGCCTTCAGACTTGGGAGACCTCATGCCCTGGGGGCCTCAGGTTGATGGGCGAGGTTCCCTATGGCTGGAGCTGTGGGATGTTTGTGCAATTTCTGTACCTGCTGGGAAGCTCTGCTAAGGGGTAGTCTCCTATGATGAGCTGCGGATCCTGATTTCATGCTCCTTCCCAGTAGATGCGGTCCCCAGCACCACTGCAGAGACTACGCCTGTGTCCAGGCCACTGACGTTCACCGTGACCTCCCCGGGGCCTGCTCCTGCCTTGACAGCTCCTGCCCCAGCCAGCACCAACTTGCTCCTGGACAGCCTGAAGAAGATGCAGAGCAGCCAGGCTGCACCCACACCAGCAGGTGAGGAGAAGGAGGAAGAGGGTCGGCAGGATCGGGCTTTGGCCGGCGCAGTAGGAGCTCTGCATTGCCTGTGGGAGGCAGGTGGTAAAACTGCCTGTTCAAATGCTCTGTTGGCAGCAGAGCTGGCAGCAGCAGAGCTGGCAGGCAGGTCGTGGGGGTGGCAGGTTTGGGGACACTGAGCCCTTTTGGGAGCTGCAGTAAGCGTGGAGGGCTGGGTTTGTATGGTACAGGCAGGTGCTGCTCCAGGAGCCTTTGCAGCAGCGGGGTGTGTGGCTGGCAGAGGGGCTGTCTTGTCCGTAGGTGACCCTAAATAAGCTCTCTCCCACTTTCCAGACTCCACTGGAGCTACGGTAGCGTCCCAGCCGCCTTCATCAGCCGCACAATCACCGGCTCCTGCTGTATCGCTGGAGTCGAGTTCTCTGCCTGCCACCTCTGCTGACACCAAGCCCATGCCCGTGTTGAGCACGCCTGCCTCTGCTGCCCCCCCTGCCGTGGGGGTGCAGGCCCCCAACAGCCTGGCATCTCCTGTGTTCACGGAGCTGGGCCAGACCCCCAGCAAGCCTCCCTCCTTCCCGAAGCCAAACATCCTCTTCGGGATGCTGAACACACCTCCAGTCAGCCAACCTGCAACGACCACAACCACTGCTGTGCCCGCCATGACCGCTGCTGTGCCCACCACGACCCCGGTCTTCAAACCCATCTTTGGCACTTTGCCAAAAAGCGAGAGCACGACACCCTCCACGGCTGTCATCTCCTCCACAGTCACTGTGTCTGCGAGCTCAGGCCCTTCCTCAACATCCTCCACCACCACCATGTTCAAGCCTATCTTCGGCAGCGTCACCACAGCTTCATCTCCAGTGAAGGCCTCTCCTTTCACCTTCAAACCAACATCACAGCCAGCCTCGGCTGCAGATCTGCCAGCAGCCTCCACGACTACCCTGGCAGGATTCACAGGTCTCCCTAATGTCATCTTCACCACTGCAGCTACGACTGCCACCACGCAGAGTTCTTCCACAGATGCCACTGTTAAACCCGTCTTCAGCTTTGGACTCAACCCGCCCACCTCCACCGGCCCTGCTGCCAGCCTGACCGTCACTGCTGCCACCTCCACCAGCACGTCGCAGCCCTTCCTGTTCGGGGGCCCGGCCAGCTCAGCTCCCAGCACAGAGACCAGCTTTGCCACCCCGGGGCCAGTGTTCCAGTTTGGAAAGCCACCTCCAGCTGCAGTCACTGCCACCACCAGTGCCCCAGGAGGCCCGGCCTTTGGCCAAGCACCTTCAAACTCAACGGCTCCTACCACCACTGTGGGCTTTAGCATATTTGGGGGCACCACGCTGACCTCTTCTACCCCAGCCACCACAGGTCAAGCAACGTTGACGTTTGGCTCCTCGGTTGCAGCGTTTGGCAGTCCTTTCAGCACAAGCACGAAGCCGCCACCGCCGTATCCTGGTGCAGTGAGTCAGCCCGCTTTCAGCGCCGGTGCTGCGGAGAGCCAGCCGCCCGCTAGCAAGCCTGCTGCCGGCCCCATCAGCTTTGGTCCTCCGTTCAGTTTTGGAGCCCCTGCAGCCCAGCCTGCAGCTCAGCCGGCATTCGGCAGCGGTGCTCAGCCAGCCTTTGGCACAACCAGCGCCCAGAGTTCCTTTGGCACCGGCAGCACCCAGGCAGCGTTTGGGAGCACCACCTCGGTCTTTTCTTTTGGGACAGCCACCTCCACCACTGCCAGCTTCGGTTCCACCACCCAGACCACAAGCAGCAGCACCAGCAGCACCATTTTCGGCACCACCCCTTCTCCTTTCACTTTTGGGGCGACCGCCCAGCCGGGCCCCTCCTCCAGCGCCTTTGGGATCAGCACGCCTGCCCTGAGCACTGGCTCTCCCGCGGTGGGATTCAGCTTCGGGGCTGGGCAGAGGGGGGCAGCCCCGGTGGTGACGCCGTTTGGCTCTTCCCTGACATAGAGCGCACTGGGTGCGCAGAATCAGAGCACGCCTTTCGCCTTCAACGTGCCCAGCACGCCCAACAACAAGCCTGTGTTCGGAGGTGAGTCAGGGCAGACAGACCTTCTTGGAGTGTGAGGGTGTTACGGTTTGAGAAACCCACAACAATTTATTGTCATTTAGACAATGATTCTCTCACCCAACAAACCCTCCCAACCCGAGAAGGGGGATCAGGGAAAACCCAAGGAAACGTAAGGGTTTAAATATAAACAGATTTAATAGAATATGACTAAATAATTACCATTAATAACACTAAAGAACCAATATTGATCCCAATACCAATATAAAATACACAAGGATTATCCTCAGACTATTCTATCAGTAGGAAGCTGTGCATTTCCAGCTACAGCTTTGGGAAGAAGGAAAGGGCTCAGGGCTCTGGCACCGGGGCAAGAAGTTCTTAGGATTGCAGCCATTGAGGGGGAGAGAGAACTTCTCAGCAAACTTCCTAATTTATTGTGAATGTGGCGTGAGATAATCCTGTTGGGCAGCTTGGGTCAAGTGCCCGGGTCTCGCTCCTCCTCATCCCTGCAACTGGCTAACTCAAAACCACCGAGACCTTGAAACCCACACACCATAGCTGGCTATAAAGTAAATATTTTCACAAGTTCAAACACTAGAGTCTTCTAAAAATGCAGTCTTCCCAGGCATTAGAAGAGAAATTAAGCCTGTCTCACTCAAACCAGGACAGAAGGGCAGGGCAAGATTTAGGCAGCAGCTTTCCTGCTGGACCTTGCGGTGCTCCCTGGGCTCAGCAGCCCTCGAGGGGCTGGTGCTCCTGTTGTGTGGAGCCTTGCTGTGCAAAGGGAAGGTGCTTCTGTCACTCGCTGTCCAGGTCCCCGGCCCTCGGTGGTGGAGGGGAATCCTTAAATTCTGCTCCTTGGCCCCTCTGAATCCACAGATCCGGAGCTCCATGTGAGTGCTGAGCCCAGTCAGGTGCCCTGCAGAAGCCAAGGTCTTGCCAGTGCTTAAAAGCAGTCTGGAGCTTCTTGGCAAGTAGAAACACTGCCAGCCAGCGATTGCAGTCACTTCTTATGCGCTCTCTGAGGTTGTCCCTACCACTTTGCACCCTTGCTGGGCTGTCTCACCTCCCACAGAGCTGAAACCCACATGCTGAGCAACTATTTGATTGAGAAAGACGGAGGCCTTTGTTCCTCCCCAGCCTGCAAATCCTCTCGTGATGCCCTGCCAGCAGGAGAGCACAGGGATTACCACGAGAGCCCAACTTCTTGCATTAAAAGGGCTTCTCGGGTGAAGAGGCTGGTCCCGGGGGACCGAGGTGCTTTACCCCCTGGAGGGAGATCTGTGCCTCCTGCGGGTGGTGCCAGCTCCCCCAGGCCGGGCTCTTCCTTCTTTCCTGACCCCGGCTCATGGTGGCGTGTTGCTTTCCAGGAACTCCTGCGCCCACCTTCGGGCAAAGCACACCTGTCCCGGGAGCAGTGGGGAGCGGAAGCAGCAGCCTTTCCTTCGGGACACCCAGCACTCCTGCCTCGAGCTTCGGAGGAGTCGGCACTTCCTTCGGTAAGGAAGGAGTTGCTGCTTTGGCCCTGGGGAGCTGATGGGTCTTGTTGTCCCCTTGGGTTGGGGACGGCGGAAGGGCCACGCTGGGCTCTGGGAGCTGGCTCAGGTGGTGCCTGCTGGGCTCTGGGGGATGCGAAACCTTCCATTCCCCCATGTCAGCTCTGAGTGAGGCTGCAGAGACCTGAGCATCCTTTCTGCTTCCAGGTTCCTCCACCCCCACCTTTTCCATCGGGGCAGGATCCAAGATGGGTGCTCGCCAGCGGCTGCAGGCACGGAGACAGCATATCCGCAAAAAGTAACCTCCGGTGCTGCCAGCCCCCGCGAGGAGCCCCTGTGCGTGTGGGGGTGCTCTGGTCCAGAGCGGTCCTGCAACGGGACCAGTGGTGACAGGGCCAGGCCCCTGTCTGATGCCAGCCAGAGACCATGCTGGGTGGCAGCGACCAGAATGGGACGGGATAAACCAAACTCTTCTTACTTGAACAGTTCTACAGCCAAGGCTGCATGAACCTCTGTACATATCCGCAGCGTTTCCTCCCCCAGTTTATTTTGCCATGTTTCATAACGTGTAAATTTTTCCCCATTTGCTTCTTCTAGCTGTTCCTGTGCCCTCCTCCCCAGCCCCCCAACAGTCAGCCCCCTGCCCCGCAGCACGGCAGCCGGCAGAGCCCTGCAATCCTGCCAGCCACGGTTCCCCAGCTGCTGAGGGATGTCGTCTTCTCCAGGTCCCGAAATCTTTCCCCCTTGTTTCATCCTGTGGCCTGGTGAACACGCTCCCTCTGGAGGGCTCTGCTTCATTGCTGTCCCTGCAGAACATGAGCCGGGGTTAGTGCCAGCCTGGCATGGGCATCATGGTGCCGTGGGTGACCGACCCAGCTTCTGGTGCTGGGTGACAACCCCCTCGCTGTGACTTAACCTCCCGTCAGACACCAGCCGAGGATGCGCCGTAGCCTGGGACCTGGGCTGGAGGCACGGGGTGGGGATGGGGGTCCCTCCACCCACCTCCCGGCCACCGAGCTGCTCCCCGCCGGGCTGTGGGCTCCCCCCACCCTGCTCGTGTCGAGCCCCCTCTGTTTTGCTTTATTCGTGCTCCCGTTTCGATACGCTCATTGAATCGAGTTTGGAGGAAGAACTGAACCGTGTGTGTGGCGGCATGTTGGTTATGCCGGATTTGCTGTTGGGAGTTTCTTTTTTTTGGGGGGGCGCCTGTCCCTTTGTGGGGGACACGCCCTGGCTAATTGGGTGTTGACAGTAGCATCACTGCGTGGCTACTCGCGCTGGGGGAGTTCTCCCTTTGTCGTAGTGACTGAAAGGCAGGCAGCCGGGGTGGAAGGGGGATGGGGCAGGGACCCCCAGGCGTGGGGGCTCCGACCCTG